CCAGATGAAAAGCTGAGGGAGTCTGTCCTTGAGGAGTTTAATTTGTTGGACAGAAAATATGATGCTCATCTTAACTTCTTGTCTGTCAAGTATGCYGAGGAAATAAGGTAGGGAATCAAGAAAACTATTGGTTGTTCATTTGTGTACAGATCAAGAAGATGGACTTGGTGGTGATTAGGGCAGGGTTTTCAATAGAAGCCGGCAACCGGCATCTGGATTCTGGCATCTACTCTTGCTAATTTGGATGCCTACTTAGCCACTTCCCAATGTAATTGTAAATTTTGATTAAAGTTCTTTAAAGTTCATTAAAATAAATTTTAACTCAATCTTTGTTGCTGTACTAGGAAAACGGCAACGCAATCGAAACTACGACGATCTTTGTCCGCCATCTTGAATTTTTGTGAGAAGAGTGATACTGGTGACAAGTATGCCTTGATTACATGCTCCAGTTATTTCTAGTTTACCGCCTATTTTAATTTCAAAACCGCCTACCAAAAATTGTATTGAGAACCCTGAGAGGGTGTAATAGATTGGTTTTATGGCTGCAGCAAATATAGGTAAAAAAAAATAGAAATTTTCTCCCTGATGAAATGAGATGGAATAATATTCAATTGTGCCCTTAAAAACACAGTTTCCATGAAACAACTGACTAATATCATTAGTCAATATTAGTAATATACATGTACAGGTATGGTAATAGTGGTGCATATGATGATGATGATATGATGATGGTAATAATTGGCAGTGATGTTGGTGCCAAACTAAGGCAAAATAGATCTGATGGTGATTGTGATAATGATTATTTTGATGGTGGTAGTTTTAATGGTAATGGTGGTAGTGTTGGCTGGTGGTTATCATGATGGTAATAATTGTATTGGTGCTAGTGGTAGTGGTGGTGGTAGTGGTAGTGGTAGTGGTGGTGGTGGTGGTGGTAGTGGTAGTGGCGGTGGTGGTGGTGGTAGTGATGATGGCAATGGTGATAGTAGTGGTGATTGTGCTATGCTAATGGTTGTGGTAGTGGTGATTGTAATGGTAGTAGTGGCAAAACCTTTAGTGATGATCTTACTGGTTTTGATATTCCACAGTTGTAGTTATGGAGGTTGGTCTAAACAGGATCATTTCCATTTCACTTGCTTGATGGAGCAATACCCACCAGAGTTGCCCAATAGAAGGGCTTTGTATATTGATAGAATGCTGAGAGAAATACCACACAAAGGAAGAGCTCAACTGGTGAGATTATTATTTATCTAGTTTACTTCCTATTCATCCATCCATCCACCCACCCATCCATCCACCCATCCATTCATCCATCCATCCATCCATTTATTCATTCATTAAATGAACCATCACAGATTTTGGGCTTAGCAAAGTGAGCAACTTTTTATGTTATATTTGTTTTTACCATAAACACTGACCAGCATTTGAAAACACTAAGCCAATGGCACCATTAAATTAAAAGCAAATAAATATTACAACTTTTTCTATTTGACTAACTTCTCCCAACACCTTTTATGTGTTCTGTCAATCTGCCAACATGCATGTTTTAAATATAAGCTGCTCTTGGCATGTATGAGTTTTCTTTTTCATATTAATACATATTATAATCATAATTTTGTGATTGTAGGTAGAACATGAGAATTGGTTGCTCGCGCACAAGTCATACCAGAGTCAAAGGCATAGTATTCTTAGAGCATGGTCAAGAGACAGAGAAGATCTGCTCCTTAAAGTCCAAGCCACATTTGCTGATGCCTGGATTGCATTAGAGGAACACAAGCAGAAACTACACACAAGACAACAACAGCAACAGATTTGTCAAGAACTTTATGAAAAGGTTGTCAAACGGATTTTATATCTTTTTGTTTTTAATTAGTAGGAGCTGTGTAATTAATGGTTTGCAATATTTTCCATGAAAGGAAAAAACATTATTCAAGAAAGTTGCAGCTGTATGCATTTGTATTTTATGTACTATGCATCTTGCTTTTTCTTATATTTTGTTCTCACATGTTCTAGGACATGATCAACCAATCCTCAACTGTTTCATAACATGCAGCAGTCAGCATGCACATGCATTCTTTTTTACAAGTGCAAAGTCATACAATTTTCTGTCGAGACAAGATAAGGTTTTGGTGGACCTCAATCAAAGTTTTTCCATGACATTGCCAGAAAACACAAACCTTTACAGGGCATGAATGTCATGAAAATGCCTTTGATTGACATCCACCAAAACCTACCTTGTCATGACATGGCATGATTTTGGTGCATGTTTGAGAAGAGCTGTAATTTAATYATTCATTTTTATCAGGTTCTTGCATTCAGGGAGCAAAAACTTGAAGCCCTTCAGCTACAAGCTGCCATTGCTGCCTGGAAAGAAAAAGAAGAAAAAGCTTCCTTAAAGGCAGCACAAGCAAAACAAAAACAAAAACGAGAAAAGATCAAAGAAAAGGTAAAAAGAAATAGGATATATTATTTAACAAATAACTTCTCTAGTTACTGTTATATCAAAATTCTCTGTCAAAAAGGYTGTGAAATTTTTGCATTTCACTTTACTGCACTTGTTACTGAATACCATACGTAGACTAGTTGCCATTGTTTACATTTTYACTTAGTGTTTTGACTACAGGGATGCCTGCGCATGTAAAGCGCTAATATTTTTTATATAGCCTTTGAATTTGACCTTTCATTTGGTTGCATTTTTYTCCCWGAAACTTTAYATATTTATTGAGATGTAACAATATRCTGTAAAGCAGTTGTTCTACAGTTGTTGATACAGTTTGACACTTGTTTTGCTTACAGGGATACTCCACATAAGCGTTTATAGAATGGTATGACGTAGCAACACATCTTTTTAACAGTTAGTCAAGGATGTCCTTTTTTTGCTCAATGACAGATTAAAACCTATGAGGAACAGAAGATGAAAGARGCAGAAGAAGCAGCATTAAGAGAAAGACAACGCTTGGAAGAGCTACAGATCAAACTAGCAGAACAAGCAGAGCTGGACAAAGAAAGGTATGGATGAGCCTTACTGTCGATTTTTGAAACATCTTAGCCTTTTTCAACAAGATGTAAAATGTATATTCAGGGTGGAAAATGGTTTGCGTTTCTTAGATTGAAAAAGAAGATAAAAAAATTAGTTTTAATCACTGGTTCCTGGCACACCTTCATCTTTCAATACTTTAACATTCAAAAAAATATATTGATATCCTGAAACAACCTCTGGGCAGAACACGGTTTACTCAAAGATCACACTTAAATTTGAATTAGCCTTTTAATTTTTTGTGGGAG